CTTAAAATCTATGCCAATTTTGCTGGGGGTGATTAGAGAATATGGACATGTGGCCAGCCTTAAGATTAATGTAAGAAAGACTAAACTATTGGTTAAAAACTGTTTTCAAAAAACATTGCAAGAATTGCAAGTTATAACTAACATGGTGATTGTTAGAAAAATCAAGTATTTGGGTATAAATATATCAAACAAATAGTTCACTAATGGAGGATAACTACAATAAGTTGTTAGAAGAAATTAGAAAAGACTTGACTAAATGGAAAGACCTACATATTTCAATGATGGGAAGGATAGCGACATTGAAAATGAATATTTTACCAAGGTTTTTATTTCTAGCACAGAATCTTATAATAAAAAATGTACAGTATTTTGAAGAACTTGATAAAATAACTAGACACTTTATTTGGGCACCATAATTCAAGGATAAAATGGAAAATAATGCAAGAAAAAAAAGAAAGGGGTGGTCTGGGAGTACCTAATTGGAAACTGTACTATCAAGTGGCAGCTTTAAGTTGGATAAGGGAGTGGATAGTATTGGAGAATACCAAATGCTTGGCATTAGAAGGTTTTGATCTGTGCATGGGATGGCACGCCTACCTCTGGTATGGAAAGGATAGAATTCATTCTAATTTTCAACGACACGCCTTAAGAGGAGCATTGATTAAAATTTGGAATACTATGAAAGAATGGTACTATAATAAAACACCTCTATGGATATCTCCTTTGGAGGCATTTGTGAGACCCACATTGATAACAAAGGTACATAGATTAAAAATATGAAATATTATTAGATAATAAGAAAAAGTTGAAGGATGTGGAAGTTTTAGCGGAACAACATAACATTAGGTTATCCTGGTGGGAATATAACCAATTAAGATCTAGACATGATAAAGACACAAATGTTGGCTTTGAGGAAAATAAAAATGAGTTAGAATCTGGTTATCAAGTGACAAACTGATTCAGAAATTTTATAATTGGTTACTTGAGGAAATGATACTTGAGGAAATGATGCTGGAGGAAATCGTAAAAACATCAATCGTGTCTTGGATGCAGGATATAGGACACAATTAGTGTTCCCTCTAAGCTGAGTTAGTGTGAGCTAGCTCACAGTTTTTTAGCCTCTGGATCACACATTTTTGTCTTAGCTCAGAAGGATGGCTCCAGAGCAAACTAATTTATGCAGTGGCCAAATCCTTCGCTCATAACTTTAATGCCAGTAGCTCACAAAGTATAATTTCTGCTCAGAAGACTCTGCAGCTTAGAGGGAACAACAATATAAATTTGGAAGAATGGCATAAAGTCTGGAAAAAATTAAAAATCTTGAAAGCAGTATCATATAAAGAAAATATATAAAATGCATCATAGATGGTACTGGTCACCAGATAGAGTCTCCAAATGTCAAAATAATGTCTCTAATATATGCTGGAAATGTAAGTCTAATGTGGGCACCTTCTACCATATGTGGTGGAGATGCCAAAAAGTTCAAAAGTATTGGAAAACTGTACAAAATATAATTTGGGAAATTATGGATTTAAATGTGGACTTAACCCCTGAAATGTATTTGTTGAATATAATAGTAGATGATCAATACACGCATAGAGAACAATTTATTTTGCTGCATATTTATACGATCTCAAGGATCTTAGTAGCAAAATATTGGAAAATGGATAGACTACCCTTCCGAGAGGAAATAGCATTAAGATTGTTAGAGGTAGTGGAAATGGATTGGTTACAAGCACAACTACAAGGGACCAAGGAGAAAGTTGTTATTCAAAGATGGGAAAAAGTCAAACAATGGATAGAAAATAATATATAGAGGACACACAATATAATATATGGAAGATGTACGTATATGAACTTAATGTTAAAAACCAATAAATATATATTAGAAAAAATAATGTGGAATGATCCCAACCAATATTCCTCTTGAAGGAAAATCCCTAACATGGTGAATTTTCTGGACTTGAGCCCCCCCCCCCCCGACTATAGGTGCAAGGAGAGTGTACTTCTGTTCTGTTATAGTGGTACAGATCGGTGTTCATCCTTCACTTTCCTTTTGTGTGTAGAGGAAAGGTGCATATGCAAGCACCCCTTTCTGCAAAAACGGGGAAGATGCTTCAGTTCATGCTTATAGTGAGCAATTCAGTATAACACAGGGGTGGCCAAACTGCAGCTTGGGAGCCACATGCGGCTCTTTAATGCATATTGTGCAGCTCCTGGCAGGGCGGCTGGGAAAGTGAAGGGGAGGCATGCTTTCCCTCCCTTCCCCTTCCCCTTCCTTCCTTCCTTCCTTCCTTCCTCCCTGCCCTCTCACGTT